CGCTGTTTCTACGACGTGATACAGTAGCTCACGTTCATTCTCCTATCTCTCTATATCTCTCACTCTCTCTCTATCTATCTATCTATCTATCTATCTATCTATCTATCTAATCTCTCTGTCTCTCTCTATCTCTCTCTGTCTCTGTGTCTCTCTGTGTCTCTCTCTCTCTGTTTCTCTCTGTCTCTCTCTGTCTGTCTCTCTCTCTGTCTCTCTCTCTGTCTCTCTCTCTATGTCACTCTGTCTGTCTCTCTCTGTCCCTGTCTCTCTCTCTCTCTCTCTCTCTCTCTCTCTCTCTCTCTCTCTCTCTCTCTCTCTCTCTCTCTCTCTCTCTCTCTCTCTCTCTCTCTCTCTCTCTCTCTCTCTCTCTCTCTCTCTCTCTCTCTCTCTCTCTCTCTCTCTCTCTCTCGCACACACATCTGATTCCGTCCTTTCCGAAGGGCCCCACTCTGTTTGATCAGTACGATCAGAGTATTATAAAGGGAACGAGAAGAACACCACGATCGTGTTCTGAAAGGTGCTGGCCTAGCCTAGCCTAGCCTGCCAGCTGATCTCACTGCTCCTGGAGACCTGGCTCGTTTTCACCTGCCAATCCGGTCTGCCTGAGGGGCCTTTCACAATCGCACGCTAGGTGAATTCTTGAGGACAGGTCGAGGTTGGGTGGGTTTGTGCCAGGACTGATGAATACTATTATTTCTTGTCTGTACAATGTCATGTATTTCCATTTGAAAGCACATGTTTACACACACTGTACATAATATATGCCGTGTATGTACCGTGAGTTACGGCGTTACAACCCCCCCCCCCCCCCCCCCTCCCGCACGATCGATGCGTGCGGACATGAGCTGTTTGTGTTACTGGTTTATGGTTTATACCCTGATTTACTCTATTGTATCGCCCAATGATTATGTCTCTGGGCGGCCTTCAGGCCCAAGAGGCATTGCAATTTACATGTACTCTTTTTGGTTGCTCGATCTCATCATCGGCCACATGTAGGTCAATAATCGTATTATGATTTATCAGCAATTACCGCCACACACCTTCTACTGGTACAATCCTGATCAATGAAATCCAGTCGCGGCACTCAAGTTTGCGCCTTGCACCATTTCGCAGCCCAGTGTTGGCAGGTATAGGGCTGCTCAACGCCCGGCGGTGTGTGAATGAGCGACGCTGTGACTGGATTTCAGTGAGCAGCAGCACTGTACGTGTTCATTGAATGCATTTTCACGATCATTCCGATGGGTGCCATTATTGCACGTGGAGATATAAAGAAGAGAAGTCTCCTGCTTACCGTGGACGGATCACTAGTGCATGTCTACTGCATGTACAACCATACTTGTACTTGTAATATTATTCTTTTCTGTTTGCATGTACAATATACATGTTACAGTAGATCTCCTACTCGAAGTACCAAGTCTTGAAGCGAGTGGCGGAATTATGGGGTATGGCTGTAGAAAGAACCACAACTCTAGCTTCCCATGTTTCAATTGCACGTCTCCTTCTTGCAGATCATGGACGACAGTGGCGTGGTACTTTGTTCCTCGCCCTTGGCAAGTCGCTAGTCTTGGATTCGTAGATCCTCCTCCTCCTCTTTTCCCTGCGCCCCAACGCCGGTCAGTGATACAACACCATACAGTACATGTACTAGTATATACTAGTACAATAATACATCAGCACTTATCTCTCTCCTCATAAGCGTTGTGACACTGACAGTGGGTAAACTGATACTTTGACAACATTAGAATCTCAGCCTGAAGGCTGAAGCACGCCATGCACCAAATCGTTTGTATTGCGCATGTCACACTGATGTAGTGCAGTACCGGTGGAAGTGAACGTCTAAAGCCGTAAAGGCTGGCTTTCTTCTAGACACCTCCCTCGGTAGCTCAGTCGCACTTTTACTCCGGATCGTTTGCATTCTGAATCTGTCTGATCTTTGTAGCAGTCACTATCATGACATGCACGTGTGTGTGTGTCTGTGTTCGATCATTCACGCGGAGGTGTGAATGACGACACACAGTAACCGCCCCGTCGCCATTTTGCAAGGACCATTGTCCCTGGCTGGTTAGAAGAGCGCACTCAGCTTTGTTTGTTTTTGATTTTGACGTTGGAGGGAATATCAAATTCGTATCAAGGATCATAATGTAAAAAAGATGGGAATGTTGTTTAAAAAATGACATTCCAGTTGCTTGCTAGGTGTTATGGGACGTTTGTCTGGACTCTGGAACACTCAGGCCACGGGATGTTAGTGTGCCGGCAGTACGATTATCTGAGGTTGTCCTCTGCTCCGGGCATGCACTGCATATGTCTAGGCCAGACTGTGGCTTCTCCACGTTTTTAGTAGTTTTTACTGTACATGTACATGTATAATAAGTATACGCAGTCAGTACGGAATATTAGCCAGCGCATGTCGGATTTTCTCATTGAACCTTGCCCAACCGTTTGCACTCAGGTCTTGTGTAGCATCCTCTTTGATCCTGTTAGTTACTCACTGCTACAGAGCAGTTTGGGATATGTGTAAATTGTACGTAATGAGGAATTGTGTGTTGCTTCCTACATGAGACTTGGATTCTCACTTGACTGACTCACGACTGCCATCCAGAGCACACGAGAAGTCCATCGAACCCTCCACTCGGCAAACCTGCAAGAAAGCACCACTCCCTGCTCAATACAGTGTTTCGGGGAGTTCACCCCTCATCAGTTGAGCTTGAGTAGGCTGAGGAAGATTGTGCGTGAAGAGCACTTCTCATTATTATAGTGCTCTCCAGTAGGGAGCAACACGCAATTCCCCAGTTATCACCGAAGTCGCATCAACCTCTTCTTCACAATGTATGTAATGAGTCTCCACTAACGTGTGACATGGAGTGAATCGAACGCACTCGCACTGCATTGTACATTATCATTGTACATGTACCTTCTTTTACCCTGGCATGTCCAGACTGTGATCCTTAGCTGTTCAAAGTTAAACGGCCAAAACACATTCCCGCCGATAAGTGATGATATTTTGTGCTCGCACATCCGCATGGCACAAGGTTGATGGATTGGCATATTGCAGTCTTAGACGTTCTCCTTTTCTTTTGGCTGATTACCCTGCCTGGTGCGTTTGACCAGTAGTAATTCCGACGTCGCACGAGCTGCTCACTCAGACCTCATCACCACTGCCGTTGCGCTGGCTCCACCAAAATAATTATACGTTATGCATTCTCATACCTGAGGCTGTGAGATGTGTTGTAAACAGTCTGTGGTTCGGTGTGCACAACACAGCTATGTTCTGCACTTCAATACAATCATCATCGTTTTAAAACAATTTTAAAAGTGGGTGCCAATCGCCGGCCTTCGGCTGAGTGCTGATGAATAATATTAACCCTTTAGAGCCTAAATTATTTCAGGAGACGCATGAAATTCACAAACTCACATTTTCATCTGACTGTAATTTCGATATCCTTTGGAGTATTCCAACAATCTCGGGCTCTATGGAAAGCTCTCTCCAAGACGAACACAGCCATACCCGAAACTACATGTAACTGTGAGCTTGCCATCTCAGCCTCGTCACGAGTCGTGGCTTGGTACTGCATCTATCACCTTGATAGTAAGACATGGTGATCATGGGGATGGCTGGCGCAACGGAAACGTACTAAGCTGGTTGTGTTTCTAAACACAATTACGTAGCCGGTGATAAAGCGGAGGTGCTATCTTTACTTTGCGTATACATTGTACATGTACATGTATGTAGGGCCGGGCTAGCATCCTCTCAAAGCCGTCTCAAATCAGTATGGAATGGATCCGAGACCCAATGAGGCATTGTGACGAATTTAAACCGTGAACGAGTCGGCTGGCTGCAGAGTGCAAACTGATGGAGAACTACATGAGTGCTCCTCTTGCTTTCATACAATACTTCTTTAGACTAAGAGTTAAGTGTAGCGGCAGCAGCAAAATTACCACCGACGTGCACCACCAGCAGCAGCAGCAATAGTTTTGAATACCAGCACGACCAGTCGCTATCTGTGAAGCGTTGCCTGCAAGGAGTCTAGTCTGAGTCAGTAGTTTACGACACAACTTCACAAATAGGGTTTTAGGTACAATGGTCAATGTACTACAGTAAGTACATTGACTGTAGCATGCAAGACATGCTCTCATTGCTCTGTCAGTGTCATTATGTCACTGGGTAGTGTGTCCGACTGGTGGCCCTGCTGGGGCCAAGTGGTCATGGCGTGGTTATGACATACCCGCCCCATAGCACGGGATCTTGGAACGTGGCCCGCCTTCACGCCTCTTGTAATCAAGCAGCGAGCACGGGAGAGTGGACCGAGGACACAGATGAGAGAGAGTCAGCTTGTGTCGGTTGTGAGTACAATACTCCTAAGTCATGATGTAGAGTAAACAATGGTGAAGCAAGCTAGCTGCAGCCTTCCCAGAATGGCAGTACAAAATGACATGTGTACTTGTGAAGTGTTCAAGTCTAGGCCGAGCCCAGGTGGCGGGCTGCAGCGCTGGTGGATGGCAAGGTTGCCACAGACGTGAAACATGCCACTAGCACACTGCAGACAGCAGACATTTCATGGACTTGGATACTGGCATGCAATTATGTAGAAGTAGAACTGGTTGTCAAGCTCTCTCCCCAAGACCCAACCCTGCACAGGCTCTGCACTCTAGCCATATCATCATGATGTTATCTGCCACAATCCGTGGCACAGACTCAGTAGATCCACCTAGATCTACGGAGTAGCTATGATAACCAACTGGCATCGTAGTTTAGACCTCTATGCTCTAATAATGACAATGTGTATCCGGAGATGCCCGGACTGGATGTAGTAGTAGTAGTAGTATTTATTATTTGACTAGGGGAGTCCCAACAGGCATGGCCTTGTTACAGGGAACCCTAGCCCTAGGTGAATCTTTGTGAGGTGAGCAAAAGTACCAGCAGATTGTGCCTGACGACAGTTTGGAGGAAGAGTGTTCCACCGACCTGCCGCCAGAAAAGAAACTGAGCGCAGTCCATACCCAATATGTACATTAGGTAATACTAAGGCAGCTGTATCCTGGCCACGAGTACGAGCATTTGTGTGCGGGCCAACTGAACGCAGGAGAAACAGTGACTGAAGGAGGGGGCTAGCAATTGATGACAAGCAGCGATAGACCAAAACGTATAGTTTCAAATTAACTCTTTGCTCAAACGAATACCGATGACACCGTTGTAAAACTAATGCAGTTGGGGTCATTCTATCTAAACCAAATGCCTTCTTCATCGCAATAAAGGATGCAGAGTCGTAAACGGGAAAAACCGTTTATTCGATCTGGTGTTCTTGAGTAGGCTGATACACACGACAACTAGCTGGCAACTGACGTGCAGAGTGTGAGGGTAGCTCTTCGAAGATCTCCTCTTTTGAATTCGAAAAGCTTCTCTGTATCGGAAGCTTCTCTGTATCGGAGTGGCCATCCCAGGCTTGTGCAAACTCTCAAGGCGCCTGGTCGTCCATCGCTGTTGTCACTGCGCATGCAAAGTGCTCTGCCAAAGGTGTGAAGTGCGGGAAGGAGAGCGACGACCAACGTTTGAATCATGCCGATACCGGCGTACCCGTCGCTTGCTGCGCACTTGCCCGCGCACCAGGCCGCCAGGGACGGCGATATTAGCGGTCTTGAGCGACTGCTGGACGGTAGCGGAGTGGCGATCTTCCAGAGCGTGGACGACACTTCAGGGGACACTGCTCTGCACATTGCGGCCGAGGAAGGCCAGCTTGAGTGCGTTACTTGGCTGTTGCGACATGGCGACATTTACTACCGGACCAAGAACACCACTGGCGAAACGCCAGCATACAAGGCGGCGCTCAATGGGCACTTGGACTGTCTGGAGACGCTCATTGAGTTCGACAAGGAGAAAGCGAGTACGGCAGCAAACGAGGCGAACAACCAGGGCCTGACTTGCCTGCACACTGCCACTATCCACAACCACATGGCGGTTATCAAATGGCTACTGAATCGCTACCATTCGACGGCATTCGCCATGAACGAGTTTGGCGCATCGGCTGTTCACTTTGCCGCCGCACAGGGTAAGAAAATGTCGAATTCAATGATGGAACTAATTCATGGGTAGATCTACACAGTGAAACTCTTGAGCCTTGTACTTCGTTAGTGCATCTTCAGTAAGTTCAGAGGGTCAGGGAACCACACCATTGGCACTGTGTAACGACTACGTTATGGATATAATGTATCAAGGAGATTCACCACTGCACTCCATCATGCATGAATGACTCGCGAAATCCTCCAGAAGCTACGCAAATGCACAAGCAGTTACCATGGATTTCACTTTGTACTTGCCTGAACTAAACTAAACATCCTTTTTTCATTATTGCTTGTGACTGTGGCATGTACAAGGTTTTCCTGGTACTTTACCCGTATTTCTATTTTTACCCGTATTCCAGTAAGATTATTGAATGCCAACTTTTCACAGGACAACCCTGCAGGTTGATCATGGGAGGAGTATCACAGTGCATCGACGATGTTTCATGCATTCATGCCTGTTGATACTGCTGGCCCTCCACGTGACGTTGCCCCCATCTCCGGGGTTTCTTCCTGATAGTGAATTCTGTCACGGTGCCCATGCATGCTCTGCTTGCACTCTGCCCCATGTTTGTACTCTTCACCCCGTGCAGGTAATGTTGATATTCTGAAGCTGCTGACGGAACATCTAGGAGCTGCCGCAGCCAACAGTAGAGACTTCAATGGTAAGTACATGTATGAGACAGGTGCTGCATATGACTGCTCGTCTACAGTGTCTAAATCATGGTCTACAGACTGCGCTAAGTGTTTGTGCTTAATATCGGGGGGGGGGCTCAAAGTCCGGGGGAGGGTGGGGGGGGGGGGGGGGTGAGCAATAGACCAGGCATGCTACAGAAGCATAACATCCTGTCTATGTTGGGTCCAAAATTAGACACAACAAGCAACTTCTTGTTTGGTGGCGGAGAAAGTGTGATCATCCTATGCTTTGTGTTTCGCCAGCCAGCACCTGAAAGAACCCAGAGCACATGTCTAGGACACTATGGATGTGCATGACAGACAAGGACCATTGAGCCGGTGGGAAACATAATTGACACCATCACTAAATCAAAGTGACATAGGGGGTGTCTCTGGGGGGATTTTTGGACACCGCGAAACGGCAAGTATGCCCCTACAAAGTAACAGAGCCCCGTGGGAAGTTGTACTGTCACGGTGCACCAGACACTACATAATGCACATGTGTTCAAAACTAAAATACAGTATACAGTGCATGTGCAGGTATCCTTCTTGTACTCAGAACGATTTCAGTGTTCTGCCTTATTATTATTATTATTATTAACTTCAGGGCTCACGGTTGGGATGCCAAAACTCGATTACGTGGGAGGACATCTTGAAATCTGATCACCATAGAAATGAGCTCGCGTGACTCGAGCTATGCACGCGGCAGTGCACGCCTACGCGGCGCGGAGCAAAGCAAGGAGAGTTGCAGTGACCTGGTGACTGACAAGAAGAAGTAGAACTGAGGAAGACGGAGACTGGCTGGGGACTTGTGTTTCACTTTGGTTGCCGTTCACTGTCGTTGTTACTGCTTCTTTCCGAGCTAGTGTGTTGCGAGCAGTGCTGGCCTCGTAAGCCGAAGACTTCAGACAGTTCGTTCGCACGCTGCGTCCTGCGATGAGAAGTCGCGAGTTCTGCCGCCGAGTCTTTGCTGAGAAAGGGATCGACATCTATGTCGTCCGCTGGTGCACTGGCGCAGGTGAGGAGAGGTAGAGGACAAGAGCTCCTTGATGGAATGAAGCAAAGACTCACACCGTGTTCTAGTTCGTTATCTCTGTTCTCAGAGCGTTTTGTAAATGCACTTACACGAGTGAAAGAGCCGTGCCACGCTGCTGTGAGAAGTGACGATGGAGAGATGTGAATTATTTGATTTGCCACTCTCTTTCGTTGCAAGAGGACGAATCAAATGGCTTCGCCGTTGTACTGGTCATGTATTTTCGGTTCGCCATAGCTGCTGAAGCACACAGCAGTAGAGCGCCGATGAGCGAGACAGCAAACGGTCAATCATATTTCAAGAGTTTGTCAGTCACGGAGGAAACATTGCAAAAAACGCCTTGCTGCTGCCTCGCTGGTGTAGTTTCCGCATCGTACAACGCATATGCACAGGCTTCCTTCCTTGTCGTCGCGCACGGGAGTTCGCGTGCGCCCCTGCCGACTTAGCTCACTTCAAAACAGTATAAGGTAGCACAATATTGGCCGATTTTGACAATCGATGGCTCAAAATCTTCAGGAGATACTAAGCTACAGTTTAACCGAAGCGATTTTTCCCTAGATGAAGGGATCGCTGTAGAGCATTCACGGACTTTGTGACAATATCTTTAGTTTCCCGGGGCCAAAATCAAAAATTCCTTCGGTTGAACCCCTAGTTCACATCTTGCCTGGTTCCACCCAAATTTTCAGTGTCGTACTGTCTACCCGTGCTACCTTATTCTATTTTGAAGAGGCATGTGTCGCACTGAAAATGCGCTGCGAGATGGCTAGAGTTTGTGTACAAGGGGTGGTCGAGCTGTGGTCGCGTGACAGTCGACCTGTCGTCGCGTGAGCTGGCCAGAAACAAAATGGCGCCCACGTATTTGTACACAACCGTGAGCCCTGAACTTATATAACTTTTATTTTACTAGGGTGTTTCCCACAGACCTATGGTCTTCTTACGGGATCTCCTAGGAAGGGCAAGCATGAGCGAATAAATGAGCGGTAGTCTGTACAAGTGGGAACAGTGGAAGGCAGCATATTCCTTGATCCTCTTGCCAAGTTCGAACTGTATCTCACTTTTGACTTCCGGTGTTTGCCTGCGGCAACTGATACCACAGCATTTGTGTCAAATTCTCTTTTCCCGTGTGTCTGTCTAGGCGCCACACCAATCTACTTTGCAGCACAGGAAGGCCGGCTAGTGGCTCTTCAGTACCTGGTGACCGAGTGCACAGGTGATCCGATGATCCGCGCCAACGACGGCATGACAGCTGTGCATGCCGCCACTCAACTCTATCACTTGGAGACTGTGCGGGTAAGGGAGCGGTGCGTGCACTGCACCTTGCAGTGCATTGCTGTGCTTGGGCTTAATCCAAACTATACAAACTGCTGTATGCATTTCAGATTGCCCATCGAAGTACTAGTATTCCAGAGCCATGCAACAGGCACATTCTCAGGTGGTGGTTGCTGCCTCAGGTGGCACATCATGTACTTCTTGAAATAATACTGCACCCAATGAACAATCTCATAATGCGTTTGATTGTGTGTGCATATGTGTCAATGTCAACCTCCTCAGTGGCTGATTGGGGAGATAGGAACACATGGCATTGCTGATCGGACCAAAGACGGTGCTACGCCAGTTCACTTTGCTGCAGGTAAGCCATGGAGAGCACCGAGTCTGTCAGAATCGGCCAAACCAACCTACTGCAGTGCTAGAATTGTCACCAAGTGTAACATTTTTACAGGGTGCTTTGTTGTGCTTTTATCTATTTATCTATATACTTGTATAAGCCAAGCTGAGTACTTGTATCCACTACCTGTATGCAATGTGGTGTTCGAATCAACTACATGAATGTGTCGTTCATCTTAGTACTGTACTACCTTAGGCCATCATTTTTTATATCTATGTTTCGCGTCGCCCGCACGCAAACGTTTTGATTTTTTTCGGAAAAAAATCAAAAATCAATCATGCACAGTTTAGTGTACGATCGTGCGAGTCATCGGTGTTGACTGCATGGTTGCATACGGCGAAACTGGGATTCAGAAATGGCCTCGAGGCCAGCGTTGGTAAATCGTTTGTTCGGCATCTGCGAGCAGTATTCTACGAGCTTACAACAGACCGCATCGGTCGCCTCAAGCTGAGAGGATACGTCGTTCCGGAGCTCTTTGCACCGCTGCTGAAGGCTGAGTACAATAATCCAGCTAAGCAAGGGCACCAACGGTTGCCTTCTCTGTCCAAAGTGATGCAGATTTTGTGCTTCGATGTACGATTTTTCTTTCGAATGTACACCATGCACGAGCTATTGAGTGTTATGCTATGTACAGTTATATACACCTCTGATGAGGCTTTTTATTATTTTGCAACTTTTTTATTTTTTTCCACCTCTCGCATATGATTCTGGAAGTTGAACTGACGCGAAACATAGATATAAAGAATGATGGCCTTATAAGCTAATACTAGTACCCCCCCCCCCCCCCCCCCAGATATGTTGCTTCCGTGCCTATGGGTGCATCCATAATTAATGGTTCTGAACTTCTTTCATCAGTGTGTTTGTAGAATTTATAGGGTAGGGTAAGGGGGTGGGGGGGGGGGGAGGGGGGGGGGGTATGATTGCACTATGAGCATGATCCTCAGATTTGCAGCAAATTAGCCATGCTCCACTGTTGTACAGGACTGTGTACCGGTCCATACCTTTCTCCGCTGCTGCACTGCACTATGTGTAATATAATGTACACTACAATGTATATGTGTATGTGTATGGACGTGTGTGTGCCTGTGCGTGTGTGTGTGTTTATGTGTGTGTATACGCGTATGTCTGTGTATTCGTGTTCTGCACTCTCTCCACTGTCTGCACTCGCTATACAGCCAAAGGCTACACGTATCTGCTGCGCTGGTTCTTCGACACGCACCCAGAGCCGAATGTTCTAGCACGACTATGTGACAATGCCGATGCAACACCAGCACATGATGCAGCAGAGTTCGGGTGAGTAACTGTCTACTGAAAGTCATCATGTTTGCCCGAGTAGTTCATGCAATGGTACACACCTATAATTGTGTGATTGGGAAATACTACTTGTTAATGAAATGTATGGAGAGATGCTGTAGAATACAAAAGGTGAGGAACACTCGAAACACATTTCCAGACATCTCTTTCTTTTAGCACTCTGTTCATGACAGGAGCGGCCATTCTTCACCGACCCACCAAATCCAATCTGGCATGCCGCAGGGCAGCATCCTCGGCCCCACCCTCTTCCTTCTGTACGTCAACGACGCAGAAGACCACCTACCTGATGGGGCAAAGCTGGCTGTATACGCCGACGACACAACTCTCTACAAGTGCATCACCACCTGACTCAGACTGCCAGGAGAGACAGCAATCCTCCAGCAGGCAGTCGACTCACTGGCAGCATGGGGAAGCAGGTGGAGGATCAAGTTCGAGCCCACGAAGTCGCAGGCACTGACCATCAGCCACCACCGCTCGCCACCCCCCCCCCCCCCCCCCCGAACGCAATACGCTTCCAAGGAGCAGTCGTGCCAGAAGTAGAGGAGCTCAAGCTTCTTGGCGTCACCTTCAACAGGCAGCTGGCATTCCGCAGCCATATCCGACAGCTCGCAGTACGCGGAGCCCAGCGGCTCGGCTTCCTCCGTAAGGCATCGGCTGTGCTAGACCCAAAGCACCGGGCAATCGTGTACCGTGGCTTTGTCCGCCCTGTGTTAGATTATGGCATGCTGGCGTGGATTAGCGCCGCCCCCACCACCTTGGCCCGCCTCACTGCCATCCAGCGCCGTGCCCTGCACATAATTGGAGACGGATCTTACCTCCCGAGCCTCGACATTCGCCGTACCGTAGCAGGGCTCTGTTTCTGTACAAGCTGCACTTTGTGGAGGGTCCGGAAATGGTGAAAGCCATTCTGCCACCATCAGCAGCCGCACCGCAATGCCGCATGTCTACTCGTGAGACAACCAGATCTGCAACACATCATCTATCGCACCTCACCAGTATTCTTCCTCCTCAGGCACGAAACAACACGCTCCGCTCATTTCCCCACTCCCTCATCGCAACGTGGAATCAGCTCCCACCTACCCTTCTGCAGTCTCCCCCTTCTCGCAGAGGTATGCCCACGTTCAAGAAAAACGTCAACGACCACTTGCGGCGCGGCAAGTGGGAGTGGGCCACAGACAGGCTATGATCTCTGCCAACACACCAGCCTAATTATACTGACCGCACTCCAGCTCCCTTCTACCCCTCTTTGATCCCCTTCGCTCAGCCTTAAAATCTGATTATCAGTTCACTCCATCTTCCTACGGTGCACTGCTTTTACTATTGTTTTGTCCTATCTCAATCTCAAATTCTCCCCATTATCGTTTGCAAAGCCGGTGCTTCCCTCTTGGATGCACATGTTTCTTTGCCCCTATGTATCGGCGCACAGGAGTAACGATGATTCTGAGACCTTTGGTCGGAGGAGTTACTTTTGCCCCGCCCCCACTTCCATCCAATATGCCACCGCCCCCGCTGTGCAGCATCTGATGGTTCTGTGGTATTCAGCAAAAAAAGTAAAAAAGTGCAGCATACACTAACCACTCTATAGTACTCACTACACACAAATAACAACTTCATCTGTGTGATATTGACCTTCATTTGTGAATCGCGTAGGGTAATGACAGTCTAAGCGCCAAGTATCACGCATGATCTTATCCATAATGATTACTGTAAAAGCCATATATATAACGAAGTGCTAACTCTAACGAGTTAACGAGGACAAATCTGTCGTTAAAATAGAAATCGTTATACAGAAATCGATACATATGTCCTATTGAGCGTTGAGAATGAGTGAGAATCGTTACCTTTGGTACACGTAAACAAGTCGAATTTGGGAAATCGTTATATATCCGCCTCGTTAGAATAATGGCTTTTACATTAATCTTAGGGTTTTATTACCAGTCGTCTGATGATTGCAGTGGCATGAAACTTTGAGTTACGACAAATCCAAGCTCGACCTATTTCTCTTTTTTTATGTAAAACACAAATTAATATTTTTTTCAAACTAGTCAGCAAACATTTCCCTGCCGCGTCGCCACTACACAAGATCTTCAACAGAAACACATTGAAGCTGAGCTACTCCTGCATGCCCAACATGTCCTACCTGATGAAGGGACATAACCAAAAGGTACTAACGCCTGGTGAAGAGAGATCTGCGGCAGGGTGCAACTGCCGAGCCAAGCCATCATGCCCTTTGGGCGGCGGATGCTTGGAGGGGGAAGTGGTGTACCAGGCCTCCGTCACAACTCCAAGCACCGGCGAGGAAAGGCAATACATCGGCCTGTGCGAGACGCCCTTCAAGGTGCGCTATGGCAACCATCTAACCAGCATGCGGCATGAAAAGTACCGTACCAAGACCGAGCTATCCAAGCACACATGGGCGCTGGCTGACCAAAGTGAGGAATACAGCATCAAATGGGCAGTCATAGATCGGGCCAAGTCCTATAGCAACATATCCAAAAGGTGCTGCTTGTGTTTAGCAGAAAAGTTGCGCATCATCACCTTCAAGACGCCTCACACTCTGCTCAACAAGAGGTCGGAGTTGGTATCAAAGTGCAGACACCAAAACAAGTTCTACCTCTCCACCTACTCTGCCGTGACATAGCCACCGCGTGCTACCACTATCACCGCCACATCCTCTGAATACCCGCGGCTGTTGAATGTGGACACCACAGTGTGCTTCCACCGCCACACATCACACCCTCTGCCCAGTGCCCCCATGGCTTACCCTTGTCCTGCCTGGTGGTTTCTCCGCCTCTGCACGCTTCATGCATAGTTCGCGCCTACTGCGCATGCCCATCCAGTGATGTAATTATTATCACTCGCTCTTTCCATGCATGCCCTGCATTGATAGCTCACACCTCCTCTACATGCCCATGCGTATCCCCCACAATAAGAACAAGCTATCCCGCGACAAAAGCATTAGTTGTCTGATGATTGCCTTAGCATTTAGCTACGTGCATGAAACGCAGCGTTACAACGTATGTTTCTATAATTGGTGAAACCATTCTTTTTGACCTTTGTAAAACAGAAATTAGATAGGCAAAAAATTAAGGACATAAAACTTCGCGCTACAAGTGAAAAAGGTTTAGTGCAACCAGTGCACGCAGATGTTCAACCACAGCATGAAGATAAAAAATAGCATTAACTCATCAAATGTACTAAAGAGAGACATTTTTCTAAATACTAACACGGCGATTGATGCCAAACAACTGAAGGGACAGCACAGTTTCCTTCTGTACACAAAAGAAATGTATAGGCATTCTCTCTGTTCCAACAAAACTAATCTTCCTTCGTCTCTGTACTGTTCTTTTCATTCCAGACAAGTGGAAGCACTGAAGCTACTATTACGCCATGGTGCAGACCTGTTTGCTAGAGACCAGGTAAGGATTTGTTCAACAACAATCTTATTCACCAGCAGTTATGCATAGTAACTGCACCAGAAACAGCGACCATCTGCGCTGTGTGACCAACAACCGACTTCTAGTGTGCCGAGTGCTGTATCTGACCTAGATGCAGTGACCGCAAGTACTGTCTCAGGCGGGATTCACAGAAGCTTTTTTTGCGACGCGACGCGTGATGCGACGGTGGCGTGCAATGCGAACTCGCGAAATGCCGTTCACAGAAGAAGTCAGTTGGCTGTGTTCTGTCAGTTTGAACTTTAGCATAAATCACAACTCCTTGTACTTTAGTCATGCTCACACTTCCTTTTCGGTTGCATATGTCACGTACCCGCGCACGCGGTTCTCCTGCGCTCTGCTGCGCAGTACGGTAATGTTCCTCTTCTATTTTCCCGTATCCCTTTCTGGATGGCTGGTTCCTTTTATTGTTTTGTTCCTTCAAATTGTAGTTAGACCGCATTGTCATGTCATTAACCCTTATCCGACCGTCAAAGTGGACACATTCTCAGTCCTAGCGAGACGCCACGACTCATTTTGTTGATAACTTTAGTTTCCCTTGGGTGATATTGGCAAACTTGGGCTTTTTGGAAAGCTTGAGCCATGAGGAATTCTCTAGAAGCAGTTTCTAGCCTTTATTTGTAAGAGGAACACTTGAAATCCATCTCCAATTCCATTTTTTGAGGAGAAGTGCGGCTCATCGACATGTGGACCATTTGTAGTCTTAATTTTGTACTTTCATGCTGACACATTTTGAATATACCACCAGGGAAGCATGCAGGCAAAGTTTTAGGAGGGCAATATAATCATTGCCAATGTTACACCAT